GTAGATAATACGGACTCTATAGTAGATACTACTGACTCTATAGTAGATACTACTGACTCTATAGTAGATACCACTGACTCTATAGTAGATACTACGGACTCTATAGTAGATACTACGGACTCTATAGCAGATACTACTGACTCTACAGTAGATAATAGGGACTCTATAGTAGATACTACTGACTCTATAGTAGATACTACTGACTCTATAGTAGATACTACGGACTCTATAGTAGATACTACTGACTCTATAGCAGATACTACTGACTCTATGGTAGATGCTACTGACTCTATAGCAGATACTACTGACTCTATAGTAGACACTACTGACTCTATAGTAGATACTACTGACTCTATAGTAGATACTACTGACTCTACAGTAGATACTACTGACTCTATAGTAGATACTACTGACTCAACAGTAGATACTACTGACTCTATAGTAGATACTACGGACTCTATAGTAGATACTACGGACTCTATAGCAGATACTACTGACTCTACAGTAGATAATACTGACTCTATAGTAGATACTACTGACTCTATAGTAGATACTACTGACTCTATAGTAGATACTAATGACTCTATAGTAGATACTACGGACTCTATAGTAGATACTACGGACTCTATAGCAGATACTACTGACTCTACAGTTGATAATACGGACTCTATAGTAGATACTACTGACTCTATAGTAGATACTACTGACTCTATAGTAGATACTACGTACTCTATAGTAGATACTACTGACTCTATAGCAGATACTACTGACTCTATGGTAGATACTACTGACTCTATAGTAGATACTATGGACTCTATAGCAGATACTACTGACTCTATAGAAGATACTACTGAGTCTATAGTAGATACCACTGACTCTTTAGTAGATACTACTGACTCTATAGTAGATACTACTGACTCTATAGCAGATACTACTGACTCTATAGCAGATACTACTGACTCTACAGTAGATACTACGGACTCTATAGTTGATACTACTGACACTATAGTAGATACTACTGACTCTACAGTAGATACTCCTGACTCTGACTCTACAGTAGATACTACTGACTCTACAGTAGATACTACGAACTCTATAGTAGATACTACTGACTCTACAGTAGATACTACTGACTCTATAGTAGATACTACTGACTCTATAGTAGATACTACTGACTCTACAGTAGATACTACTGACTCTATAGTAGACACTACTGACTCTATAGTAGATACTACTGACTCTATAGTAGATACTACTGACTCTATAATAGATACTACGGACTCTATAGTAGATACTACTGACTCTATAGTAGATAATACTGACTCTATAGTAGATAATACTGACTCTATAGTAGACACGACTTACTCTATAGTAGATACTACTGACTCTTTAGCAGATACTACTGACTCTATAGCAGATACTACTGACTCTGACTCTACAGTAGATACTACTGACTCTATAATAGATACTACGGACTCTATAGTAGATACTACGGGCTCTATAGTAGATACTACTGACTCTATAGTAGATACTACGGACTCTTTAGTAGACACTGCTGACTCTATAGTAGATACTACTGACTCTATAGTAGATACTACTGACTCTATAGTAGATACTACTGAATCTATAGTACACACTATTGACTCTATAGTAGATAATACTGACTCTATAGTAGATACTACTGACTCTATAGTATATAATACTGACTTTATAGCAGATACTACTGACTTATAGTAGATACTACGGACTCTATAGTAGATACTACGGATAGCAGATACTACTGACTCTATAGTAGATACTACTGACTCTATAGTAAAGACTACGGACTCTACAGTAGATACTACTGACTCTATAGTAGATACTACTGACTCTATAGTAGATACTACTGACTCTATAGTAGATACTACTGACTCTTTAGCAGATACTACTGACTCTATAGTAGATACTACTGACTCTATAGTAGACACTATTGACTCTATAGTAGATACTACTGACTCTATAGCAGATACTACGGACTCTACAGTAGATACTACGGACTCTATAGCAGATACTACTGACTCTCTAGTAGATACTACTGACTCTGACTCTACAGTAGATACTGCTGACTATATAGTAGATACTACTGACTCTATAGTAGATACTACTGACTCTATAGTAGATACTACTGACTCAATAGTAGATACTACTGAATCTATAGTAGATACTACTGACTCTATAGTAGATACTACTGACTCTATGGTAGATACTACTGACTCTACAGTAGATACTACGGACTCCATAGAAGATACTACTGACTCTATAGTAGATACTCCTGACTCTATAGTAGATACTACGGACTTTATAGCAGATACTACGGACTCTATAGTAGATACAACTGACTCTATAGTAGATAATACTGACTCTATAGCAGATACTACGGACTCTATAGTAGATACTGACTCTATAGTAGATACTACTGACTCTATAGTAGATACCACTGACTCTATAGTAGATACTACTGACTCTATAGTAGATACTACTGACTCTATAGTAGATACTACTGACTCTATAGTAGATACTACTGACTCTATAGTAGATAGTACTAATATCTACTATAGAGTTTTTGTGCATCTGTGTGTGTCCGATATAGGTGCTCGCTAATATCACTTGCCCCAACAGTCTGTTAAGGCTATAGGGGGGGATCCTTGTCTTCGTCCGTTATGTATTTACTTGGGGAGTGGTGGTTGTGGTTAGCGCGCCGCGTGACGAATCCAGCAACCTGAGAAAGATTCCCTCTCACAAACGATAACAGTGGCGAATAATGAACCGATCCTGGGCCTCCACTAGGTCAACTCAGCCTAGAAATATAGTACCTGATGCAGGGTGTAAAGATCATCACTGGGGAGTCAGTGCCTGTCAAAGGCTGTACGTGCGCACGTGCAGACACACGCACACGCGCGCACGCGTGTGCGTATTTGTCCATGTCAAAATGTTTGTCTATTTGCCCTTTTGTGTGTTTGTCTGGGACAAAATGAAAGGCAGCGAGATTATGCATCTGCCCGTGCCAAAGTCCTTTATTTAACCATGCTAGGGCCCAATGAGATTATCTCGTTTGCAATGGAGGGAACGGTGTGTCCTTGATTACATAAGAACTTGTCAACATTTTATCTCGAATTTTTTTTTTTTTACACGCGGCCTTTGGTCAATCCGCTTTTGGATGGAGGCCTCTTCCCCCCTTCCCATGCCGCGTCAATCATCGTTGGGGAATCGGGGATTGTTTGACCAGACTTCATCACTCCGGTCAGTGCGGGTGTAGCTGCTGAAAGATGAATGGTTCACCGTGGCCTGCAATTCAGCATCGCCCATCGCACCAAAATGTATGCGTTACCTATGAATCAATTAAACCTGCAGCGGCAGCTGTCCATTGGAGCTCTGTCGTCCCGACAGTGATTTTTGTTTCTTCACCTGAAGAAGGCCGCTTGTGTTGTGGCCGAAACGTCGTGAGAATTTTCTTGTTTTATTTTATTATTTTATTCTCATTCTACGTTGACTTTACCGAAAGAACCAAAGAAGAGGAGTCGAACTAAATTTTGATTTAAAGCTTTCGTGACTGCAGTAATTCATATTCTTAGCTCGTTCGGTAAAGTCACGTTGAAGGGAAACAATAAAATAATAAAATATTTATAAAACAATAAAAATAATATATATTTTATTATTTTATTGTTTCCCTTCAACGTGACTTTACCGAAAGAGCTAAGAATATGAATAGGAGTCGAACTGTTCGCTTCGTTACACACCTGGTCAGGTGGCAATTGTATGCACACACCTCCAGAGACACAAAATAAAATGCCTGCAGCCTAAATGTTTGTTTATGGTCCTTCCCTATGTTGACTCGACCATAAATGAGAACCTGGCTGTGGTAAATTTCGATTTAAAGCTTTCGTGACTGCAATGATTCATCTTCTTTGGTTCTTTCGGTAAAGTCACGTAGAATGAGAATAAAATAATAAATTGATAAAATAAAATAACACAATAATATTCTCACGACGTTTCGGCCACAACACAAGCGGCCTTCATCAGGTGAAGGGACGAGACTGTCTGGTAGGACAGCGCTGGAGTGAAAGAGCCACGTTCAGATCACGACCTTTAAGCCTCAACTTTAGCACCACGGATATTCACCTGATGAAGGCCGCTTGTGTTGTGGCCGAAACGTCGTGAGAATATTATTGTGTTATTTTATTTTATCAATTAATTATTTTATTCTCATTCTACGTGACTTTACCGAAAGAACTGGCTGTGGTAATTTTAGATCACCTCTGGGCAACACAAAGGAGACCGTGCATGGTGCATGGCCACACACCCGGCCACTCGTGTGCTTTATCCGGGCTTTATCGGTGCTCATGGGAGCTGTACGAACTCGGTGACCCCGAGTTCGTTTCAGGCTTACGGCCAACACCGGTGTGACGATTATCTGAACCGGTCCCGGGCATCCCCTAGGTCGACTCAGCCTCAAACGAGTACCTGGTGCAGTGAGTAAACATCGCCACTCGGGAGACAAAGGCGGCCGGGCGTGGTGCTGGCCACCCACCCCCTTGTGCTCCAGTGTAGGCCATCATAGGTGCTCACAAACAGCACTTTCCCCAAAAAGGGCTGCCAAGGATATACGGGGGGATCTATGTCTTGCGCCTGTGTATGCCTTTTTTCTGTTGTTGTTGTGCATGCATGCATGCATGTCTGAGTATGTATGCACGAATGTCAGCGCATGCATGTACGCATTCTGCACTCATGTCCAAATGTACCTTGACCATGTCCTGTCAATGCAATCTCAGCTCCTCGTGTCTCCGTGTCCACAAAAGTCCTGGCTTGCTCCCGCTGGCCGGTATCCAAGCGGCAGGCAGCCAGACCTCTAGCTACCTCCTCTTTGTCTCGGCCCTGTGTGAGGACAATTATGAGGTGGGGGCTTGGGGGTGGAAGGAGGGATTGGTCAACACGTGGAGCTGGTGGACCAGCCGATCCCTATAAAAGCACTCACCACCGCCACCACTCTCCACTCTTGCTCTCCGGCAGCCAACGAGACCCCCCCCCCCTCCTCTCTCTCTTCTGCACGCAGACAGTTTGCCCGCTGTCAAAAAGAAAGGAGGGACCGGAACGCCGCCAACAACCACCATCACCACCACCACCAGCAGCAGCCCAAGACCTACGAGCGTGGCCACCATGCTGTCGACGAAGATGACCCACGCAGCAGGGCTCCTCCTGCTCGTGCTGACGGCCTACGTCCAAGCCGACGAGACGCAGCTGGTGCCGGCCACGGGCAAGACGTACCTGGAGACGGCCCTCGAGAGGCTGCATAGCTACGGCGAGGCGGTCAGCGGCGACAAAGCTGACGGCATCATGACCGAGGCCCGCGAGCTCGTGGAGCAATTCATGGAGGAGTTCCAGGCGAAGGCGCTGCCCGAGGGTGTCACGACGCACAAGCTCGCCGAGGAAATGGCCGAGGCGGCCAACGCCAAGCTGGTGCCCATCCTGCAGGCGGCCAAGGCCGGCATCGAGCGCGTCACGGCGCACCTGCACGAGTCGGCGCCGCTCATCATCAAGGTGCGCGGCTTCATCGAGTCCAAGCGCGGCGTGATGTGGGCCTACCTGGCGGCGCTGGCTGAGCGGGCGAAGAAGGCCAAGCTGGACGACACCCTCAAGGGCGTGCGAGATGGCTTGACGGCCCTCACCTTGTCCAGCATTGGACTGATGAAGGAGGTGAAGGAGATCGCGAGCGCGCCGCCACCCGCTCAATGAGAAGTCCCCGCCGAGGAGAGTCGGGGTGGTGGTGGTGGTGGTGGGGTCATGGCAAGCCGTGCGTTGCTGCCAACTCCCGGGGTGGAGAAGGTTTAGTTGGTAGTGGAGCCCTTTCCCTGTTTCTTACGTGCTGCTCTTTAAGACGACAAAAAAATATATACGTGAGGTCATTTACTGGAGTGTGGGTTGGGGGGCATTTTTTTTAATTCTTGCCGTAAATGCTTCTTCGGGTTGTTTTGTGGGACAGCTTGAAGTGCAGGCGGGGGGATTGCCCTCCAGAGATGTTATCGAGGTCACCTGGGGAAAAAAAAAATGTTTGAGCGGACTGCCGGGAAAGTTTCGACTGCTTTGAAATATTCTTTAAAAGTCTGCGTGAATCTTTTTTTTTAATTCAGTTGTCCACAATTTCACCTTCATCACGTGTGTGTGTGTCTGTGTGAGGGGGGGGGGGGTCTTTTTTTTTCTTTCGAGTTTGCATGTTCGATGATAAATTTAACAACGACAAAACAACTTAACGATCCTTTGTCATGGATTTCAGCTCGAGTTCATGCTTGGATTTTGAGATTTATTTTTTCTTTCATCTTTTAAGTTTGCTTTGTTTTTTTTTTTTGGGGGGGGGGGGGTATCTCCGACTAACATGTGGTGTCATCCTTTGGTAGTAGTAACGAACGAATTGATAATATCTGGTCTGCGGCCTTTGGTGAATATTATGTCCGGCTCCTTGGAACCGGGGGGCAAGAGAGGCGTAGTTGACAAGCGATTTGTGGGAAGTCGATTTTAGTTTGGTTTTACGAGAATGATTTATAAGAGATCTCTTGCGCTAAACTCGTATTTCTTCTTCCCTTTAAGTACTCGTAAAACGTGCAACGGGACGCTTTCGTGATCGGGTGGCGAGAAAGGGGACAGCTTTACGCCTTTTTTTTTGGTGGTCGGAACGTAACACAAATCTACAATTAGATTATTTTAATTAAAAAAAAATATATGACCGTTTCCCGCCAAAAAAAGATGCTGACCAACCTTCACGCCGCAAATAAGCACCTGTATGTAACATTTTCACCGCTGTATCTGCATACACGTTCGCGCGACTAATAACGAGTTAGTGTAAAATACAATGCACGTAAAACAAATGATGTGACCAGATAATAAGACGCGGAATTTGCTTTGGCGGTATCTGTAGGAATGCCTCCACTAGAGCTCAAAATGTCACCTTCGCGTTATTCCTGAGGTAACATCGAGTTTATTTTTTTCATTTTACTTTCAAGACTTAACCTTGTTATTAATCGTGCGAAATGACTTGACGGTGTTCGTCCCAAAGGGAATTACGGTATAAAATACATTGTTTTAAAAACAGAAAACGTTTTATTTTACACGAGCATGCATGCCGCCCCATTTACCGTTGTTAGTCAACAAGTCCAATCTCGTGTTTTACTTTTGTCTTGCAGACACAAATAATTGTGGTGTTTAAAGCCATGACTTCATGTTCAATCGAATAAAAAATTGTGATCGGTGAAAGTGAGAGATTTGTATCAATTTCATCATCGTGGGAAAAGAAAAAAAACTAACATTTTATACCCGATTAAATATTTGTTTTTTTTATATATATATAAAACAAAAATACACAAACAACATACAAAGACAAAGTTCGCCCCTTACAGCCTTAACAACTTGAAACAGGTGAACGCTGTTTCAAGTCCGGCACGGTAACACACGAGCGCCTTTGTCTCCCCCACACGCTGATGTTAATCTACGGACGGGGAAACAGAAACTAAACTAAACATTTTTATTTAAAGCTTTCGTGACTGCAGGGATTCATATTCGTGGTTCTTTTGGTAAAGTCATCACGTAGAAGGGAAACAGTAAAATAATAAAAATATAAAACAATAAAATTCTCACGACGTTTCAACTGCAACACAAGCAATCGTCATCAGGTGTGAAAACCACAGCAAGAAAATTGAAAACCACAGCAAGAACATTTGAAAATTTCAAATTTTCTTGCTGTGGTGTTCACACCTGATGACGATTGCTTGTGTTGCAGTCGAAATGTCGTGAGAATTTTATTGTTTTATATTTTTATTATTATTTTATTCTTTCCCTTCTACGTGATGACTTTACCGAAAGAACCAAGGACATAAACTGAACATATTTAAGGCCGAGTCGACCTAGGAGAGACGCCGCCCTTAGAACCGCGATATCCATCGCCACTGATGTGTGTTTCGCCTTGACCGCTAGCGAAAGTGCCCTAATCACTGCACCACCACTCACCAACCATCCCACTCACACACAAAGGTAAAGGCTCCCTCCCCGCATACTCTTTGGTTATTTTTGCTAAAGTCACGTAGGTATAAAATAAAATACATCACGACGTTTCGGGCGCAACAGCAAGCGTCCGTCATCAGTCTGGACCGCCACGGTCCGCTGCTAGAGGCAGACTGCTTTAAAACGGACGCTTGGTGTTGCGCCCGAAACGTCGTGATTCGTTTGATTCTTCTACCCACGTGACTTTACCGAAAGAACCAAAGAGTATGGATTCCTGCAGTCACGAAAGCTTCAAATCAAGATTGTCGTCACTGGTGGTGGCCGTGAGCGGGAACCGAACTCGGATCGCCGGTGTGAGCAGCACGTTGTGTGGAGAGAGAAAAAAAACGGATGACCTGGAGAAAAATCCACGCCATCACGGTGAGAGAGAGAGACACGCAAACTCCAAATATACAGCAATATACAGCAGCAGCAGGCGTCATGGTCGGGATTGAACCCATGACCTCCTGTACACCAGGCGAGGTAGTTAACATCTCCTAGCCACCGTGATGATGATGATGATGAGTGAGAGACACGCAAACTCCAAATATACAGCAGCAGGCGTCATGGTCGGGATTGAACCCACGAGCTCCTGTACACCAGGCGAGGTAGTTAACATCTCATAGCCACCCTGATGATGATGAGAGAGAGAGAGACACGCAAACTCCAAATATACAGCAGCAGCAGGCGTCAGGGTCGGGATTGAACCCATGGCCTCCTGTACACCAGGCGAGGAAGTTAACAACTCATAGCCACCGTGATGATGATGAGAGAGAGAGACACGCAAACTCCAAATATACAGCAATATACAGCAGCAGCAGGCGTCAGGGTCGGGGTTGAACCCACGAGCTCCTGTAGACCAGGCGAGGTAGTTAACATCTCCTAGCCACCGTGATGATGATGATGAGAGAGAGACACGCAAACACCAAATATACAGCAGCAGCAGGCGTCAGGGTCGGGATCGAACTCACGACCTCCTGTATACCAGGCGAGGTAGTTAACATCTCACCACTCCCGGGAGTACGACCACCGCTGAGATGGAGCGATGAGTTCAGCTCGCGTGCAGGCGCCAGGTGGATCGTCGCATACCCACGCGGAGTCGTGAAGAGATGGCGACGGCCTGGAAGAGACCTTCATCTAGCAGTGGACGATGGATCCCTGATGAATTGAGGCTAATTCATTGTTGGAGGAGCGGCTTGATTGTCAGCGCACCGCGCTACAAGCCTCCGCCACCTGAGTTCGATTGTGGCGAGCGGCATCCGCACCGCTCCAGACCCAAACGAGTCCGTTCACCAACCAACCCGTACTGACCGGCGTGGTGAAGTATGGTCAAACTCAAGCAAGCTCCATTCCCCCACGCGCACGGTGTGGTATTCTGGGGGGGGGGGGGGGGGAGCATTCATCCATCCAGCAGTGGAATGACATCGATAGAGTCTGCGCAATGAATTGCAACAATCGATAAGCCAGTAAATTATTGTAACGACTGGCTCGGTGCACTATTGTCAATGCATTTAATTAGGGCGAGAGCGGTTTCAATTAAGCAGCAGCCACATCAGAGCCCCCCAACTCCCCTCCGCTAGCCCCCCCCACTCCCCCCCCCTGCTAGCCCCCCCCCCTTCATTTACCCCCCCCCCCCGATCGTGCCGGATAATAAGACGCACCCCAAACACTTGTGCCCGCTTGTCAATGGAGGTCTATGTAACCAAGACAAAGAAACCCCGTATAGCCTCTGAACAGACCGCTGGGGAAAGTGACCTATCAAAGCCAGCACGGCATCCGATGGGGTTATGGGGTCAACATCGCGCCGGGTTCTCAATTGAGTCGACCTCGTGGCCATCAGGAACCTCTCTGAGAGAAGCACACATACACAAACCCTGGGCTTCAACTCACAGCCTCAGTGGTCCAATGGCCCAGTGTCACTGGCAGGCCATTATGAACATCTCTGAGACCCAGGTTTCTAACCCAGCACAGCGGTGGTCACTGGCTTAGTGTCACCGACACGGCCATTATGAACCTCTCTGAGTCCCAGGTCTCTAACCCAGCACAGCGGTGGTCACTGGCTCAGTGTCACCGACACGGCCATTATGCACCTCTCTGAGACCCAGGTCTCTAACCCAGCTCAGCGGTGGTCACTGGCTTAGTGTCACCGACACGGCCATTATGAACCTCTCTGAGTCCCAGGTCTCTAACCCAGCACAGCGGTGGTCACTGGCTCAGTGTCACCGACACGGCCATTATGAACATCTCTGAGTCCCAGGTCTCTAACCAAGCACAGCGGTGGTCACTGGCTCAGTGTCACCGACACGGCCATTATGAACCTCTCTGAGACCCAGGTCTCTAACCCAGCACAGCGGTGGTCACTGGCTCAGTGTCACCGACACGGCCATTATGAACCTCTCTGAGTCCCAGGTCTCTAACCCAGCACAGCGGTGGTCACTGGCTCAGTGTCACCGAGACGGCCATTATGAACCTCTCTGAGACCCAGGTCTCTAACCCAGCACAGCGGTGGTCACTGGCTCAGTGTCACCGACACGGCCATTATGAACATCTCTGAGACCCAGGTCTCTAACTCAGCACAGCGGTGGTCACTGGCTCAGTGTCACCGACACGGCCATTATGAACATCTCTGAGACCCAGGTCTCTAACCCAGGACAGCGGTGGTCACTGGCTCAGTGTCACCGACACGGCCATTATGAACATCTCTGAGACCCAGGTCTCTAACCCAGCACAGCGGTGGCCACTGGCTCAGTGTCACCGACACGGCCATTATGAACATCTTTGAGACCCGGGTCTCTAACTCAGCACAGCGGTGGTCACTGGCTCAGTGTCACCGACACGGCCATTATGAACATCTCTGAGACCCAGGTCTCTAACCCAGCACAGCGGTGGTCACTGGCTCAGTGTCACCGAGACGGACATTATGAACCTCTCTGAGACCCAGGTCTCTAACCCAGCACAGCGGTGGTCACTGGCTCAGTGTCACCGACACGGTCATTTCGAATTCCTCTGAGCCCACTTGCCACGGCCAGACAATGGAGCCGCGGCCATTCAGTGATTAATTATGATTAAACGCCAACGAAATGAAAGGGACTGCGTTCCTGCAACCCATGCCTGCTCACCCCATGCATCACTTGGAGCCCCAGTGGGCGGTGTGTGCCCGAGTCGCGTGATGAATGCTGCATCTAAACAAGGTAAAAGCTGGCTCTAAAAATACACTAATCGATTAAAAACCTCGTTTTCACGTGCGGGTGAGTTGATGGTCTCGATCCGGTCGCCGGCGAATTTCATGGAGACGCGTGTGCGTCTACGTTGACCCGTAGACTCAGAGCAAAATACAGCAGGATATGTATGCCCAATGCCTATGTACCCTCTACCAATGTAAACCTATACCTTTGTATACCTATATACAGTATAAATGTAGACCTGTATCTAAGTATACCTATACTTAGCCAGGATTATGTATTCCCATAACTTGGCAGAGCTCTCCCTTTGTAGACCTATGCCTATTTATTTTACGTTAATGATTAAGTCACTTCAAGGGCATCAAAGTGGCTCTTGTTCAAACTAACGTCGGGGCAGAACCCATCTCCGTTGGTAACCCTGTGCGAGCGGTGGAAATTCCCCATTCCTATGACGGGGCCTTCATTGATTTTTCGACGTACGTTTAACTCGCGTGCAGAAGCTGGATGGACTCATTGCGGAATCGCGAGACCTTTGAGAGACGGGCGACAGCTTGGGAGAGGCCGTCATCCAGCAGCGGATCGATCACGGCCGACGACGAACGCCGCCATGGATGGCGCCGTGGTTTGCGCGCACTGCGCCATGAAGCCGGCGAATTGAGGGGTTGACTTTCGGCCACGGCAGACATCATCAGTGACGGGTGACATCTGAAGCGGTCCTCACGCCCACCACCACAGCTCCCCCACCCCGCCACCAACCCACGCCTTCACCAAAATCGCACTCAAGTACGGTCGAACAACCACTCATGAACCACAAGATGCGAGGAGGTTCTTCCTCAAATGTTTCTTGCCGTTGGTTTTCACACCTGATGATGACCGTTTGTGTTATGGTCGAAACGTCGTGAGAATTTTTATTGTTTTATATTTATTTTATTATTTTATTGTTTCCCTTCAACGTGACTTTACCGAAAGAGCTAAGAATATGAATAAGGGGCAGTAGGTTATCACTTGTCAAAGACGTTCACAGCGTCGCGCGCTTTCAGACGGCCGCTTCTGCGGCCGTCTGAAAGCGCTTCTGCGGCCGTCTGGAACGCTCTTCATTCCGATAATTAGGAAGCCACGAGAGCTATGCACTTTGAAGTAATCTGAATTGAAAAGTAATTTATTTAGTACTGCTTTTTGTGTTTAGTTTGTTATCCTTCCCCCGCACCTCCGATTTGCACGGTTGGCTACGTAGGGTGTGAAAGAAATTGCCCCCCTGGGTAACTGAATGTTACATGAGCAGTGTCAAGTTAGTCGAAGGGTCGAAGTTTGAGGAATCTTTTACCGGCGAATTACTCAATTGGGGCACAACACGCAGGAACATCTGAAATGACTCGTCAGGCTCAGCGAGGGTCTCCCTGGGTACCTGAATGTTATAGGAGCACAGTACTGACTTTGCGAATGGAATGACACAACGGAGAAACACGAGTGGAATAACAATTTGAGCAGCAACCAAAAAAAGAAACCAGCCGAGTGTTTTTTTTCTTCAGAAAAGTATTTATTTATTAATTATATAATTAATAACAATTGTAATAATTTATGACATTTATTGTATGAAGTATCGTGGTGTTTAGTGTACAATAAGGCTGCAGTATTTTTTATTTATATATATAAAACAACAGCTGCCACTCAAACCGGAGGCGCCACGTTCCCGGACAAAAACAATTTCCGCTGGGTTGCAAACCGCGCGCGCGTGCCACCCGTGTCGCGCGCGCGTGCCACCCGCGTGTGCACGTGCCACCCTCTCATGAGCGCGCGTGCCACCCGCGGCGCTTGCGCGCACGCTGATGGGCGCCACGCTCGCTCGTGCCGCTCGGCGGATATGCGTGGCGCCCCCATTCGGGAGGTGCCGCTTGAGCGCTGATTTTTTTGGAGGAAAAAAAATTAAACAAAAATAAAAAAAATATATCGAACTTCGCACTTGGGAATGCTCTCGGAACAAACGTCGGCTTGAGCGTCGCGTGGCTTCGACAGGCCGAAGCTGGACGCGCCCGTTCGAACTTTAGACCCTGATCGCTTGCGGGAGACACAAATACACGTTGATAAAGGCGTGAAATCTGGAAAGAGGTGGATTTAATTTCGGCTCGGGCGAGTTCTGCACGATTGTTAGTCTTTCAGTGCCGCTTTGTGGCAAGTCGGCAGCGGATAGGATTGGAGATGAACAGTCCCCCTGCCACGTGAATGTGGATCTTCCACCACTGGCTCCAGGGTCAGCATGATATATTCGCACTGCACCTCCCCCCCTTGAGTTTTTGGATTTTCTAATGAATCCTAAGTGTCTGTAAATCATCCAAGTTTGGCACTGCCCTGACCACCGACCTAGACACCTGCTATAACCACCGATATGGCCGAGAATATCGCCACCAACAGGGCTACCGCAACCTACATGGCCATAAGTATCGCACTTAACATGACCGCCACCAACTGGCACGACTATGGCCACCACCACCAAGATGACCAATAATTTGGCCAACAACGTAGCAACAGGCACCAATATGGCCGCCGCCGCCGCCGCCACCACCGATGCGGCCACGGACACGGCGAGTATTGTGCTCAATACCACCAACATGGCCACTGACGCCAACATGGCCACCGACACCAATATGGCCGCCGCCACCACCACGGGCAACGCTGCCATCGGTGTGGCTGTGAGACTGGACGGACGTTTTGATTGCGCGCGCATAATTATATTTGGGTGCATTTTTTTTTAGAAAAGTGATGGAATTGATTCAATGCGGCGTTACTTTCAATTCAAGTAACAAAAGGCCTTGGGTGTATCTCGTCATGGCCGTTACGTTTACACCGGGATCACAAACACAGTACACTACTCAAAACGAAATACATACAGCAAAGTACTGAACACGTGTCTCCATGTGCGTCTCTGTGTTGTGTTCTGTGTTTGTCTATGTGTGCGCGTGCACGTGTATAAGCACATGAAGTCGTGCGTTTCCGTATTACGTAAGTGACATTAGTCTGTGTTGTGATACAGTATGTGCGAGTTCACGTAAGGTAGGTGTACGTGTTCGTAGATATGTCTGTTGCCAGCACACAGTTGGCACAATCGGGGGCACTGGTGGTCTACCTGCCAGTCATCTCAGTCAACCCGTAACACCTGGGTCTGTCTCATGTCCATCTGCTACAGGCAGATGTGTAGCGAAATTCAACAGGACCTACATCTCTGTTTTATTGACCTGGTCAAGGCCAATGATACCATCATGAGGCCAGGGCTCTGGATTATTTTTCGTACTTTCGGGGTCCATGACCCTCTGCTCACAATCATAAGTATCTTCATGTTGATAAAGGTGCTTGGCCAAGAATCAGGGCCATATCCTGTTCACCATGGGGTACGACAGAAATGCCCTCTCTCCCTTACATTATTTAACGTATTTTTTTACCATGTAGGTTTAGAACCATTCCATAGCTGTAACAAAGAAATGTCCATCTGGTACGAACACAATGGGAGGCTGATCAATGCCCTGGAGCGGTCACGGGATGGCTCTCTAATGATCAACCAATGTATGCTGATGATCTGGTAATTGAGAAGGCATTGGAGACTCTGCCGCTGAACCTGGAGCATGCTTTAAATGTGCCGACTGGCCTGCCTATGATCCATCCTGGGTTCAACCATGCGGGATTGTGTGAGCTCACAGATCCTTGAAAGATCTGGACAGTTCCATCAGTGAGCTCCTCTGGCGAGCGAGGCTGCGTTGGTTCGGTCATGCTGCCCACACTGGACAGCCAAAGCACCAAGCACTGCGGCGACATCACCACCATTACGTGTCCATGCATGCGTGTACCTATGTGTGTCTCCGTGTGTCTGTAATTGCCCCGACAGCCTACACAGGCTGTATGTTCGTGTTTGTTCATGTATCCGCGCGCGCGTGCGTGCGTCTGCGCACACGACAGATCATTTAAGGCTCTGCGAATGTTGCACGAATGGAGGAACTCAGCGGTGTGTTCTGGTCCACAAGAAACGAGAGACTTTGTAGTCTTCATTTTGGCTCCATTACAGTCCTCCTCCTACTTCTCTTTGCTGCTTGTTAACGACATTTAGTTTGAGGCAATTTCCTCGACGTCTTTTCCATGTCGGGAAAAATACAGTTCTCAAATAACAATGATCAGAACAGTGGTAATAATAACGATGATGATGATGATGATACTGAGTTGAGCTTTAACGCCATTCCATCCCGCGCGATCCCTCGCGCCGACCACATAACGGAGTCGAACCCGTGGCCTCCTTGCTTGTGCGGTGGAGGGAGTCGCTCGCCTCTGCTCCACCTGGTTGCCCTGGGTCGTTGCGCCTGTTGCCGGTAGATGATGATGATGCGGGAGACGATGCGGGAGACGATGCAGGAGATGTGGAGAGCGTCGCTGTTTCTCACGAGATGCTCTCGTACAGTGGGGGCAACATGGAGTGCGAGGGTGTCGCCGGGCCGCTGCCACCACCGCCAAGATGGCCGCCGCCACTGCCATCAAGATGGCCACCGGTACCAAGATGGCCACGAGCGCCACCACCAAGATGGCCACGGGCGCCAAGATGGCCACCGGGGCCACCACTGCCACCACTGCCACCAAGATGGCTGCTGGCACCAAGATGGCCGCGGGCGCCGGCGCCTCCACCGACCTGGCCGCCGTCCCCCCGAGCGCCGCGACCGACGACGCCAAAATGGCCGCCGGAACCAAGATGGCGGCCAGAGCCAAGATGGCCGCCAGCGCTGACATCAATGTGGCCGTCGGTGCTGACACCGCCAGCTCTGGTGACGCCACCGTGCCCGGAGTTGATTTCGTCACCTGCACAAACGCAGGCCCACACAAGGGCTCCTCCGTCTGTCTGTCCATCTGTAAGTCCCTGTGTGTATGTGTGTGTGTAAGTCAGTCCATCTCTTTATGGGTCTCTAAGTCCGTGTGTTTGTCTGTCTCCCTGTCCATCTGTAAGTCTGTGTGCGTGTTTCCAATTCAGTTCGTCTGTGTGCCTGTCTGAGTTTCTGTATGTTCCTGTGCATGTTTTATCGTAAACGCGTCAGTCTGGAAATCTGTCTTTAGGTCTGTGTATCTGTCTGTATGTCTGTCAGTACATCTGCCATCTGATTGTCTATATACAGTATGTATTTTTCTCTGTCCGAAACTGTGTTTGTCTACCTATCTGTGTGCCTGTCCATAACTGTGCGTCTAAGTCTGCCAGTGTGTCAGTCAATTCAGTACGGCCGAGTGTTAATATGTTTCTGTAAGTCTGTGTGTGTCTGTCGAAGTCTTGGTCAGTCAGTCACTCTGCCCGTCCATTTGTAAGTCTGTCCCAGGGTATGTACGTCTGTACGTCTGTAAGTCTGTCTGGTCGTCAAAGCCGTGGGATCATTAGAAATGTGGAACATCGTCAGCATCATCTTCACAACAATGAATGACACATATGATTAAATCACTCAGTTGGGATTACACAGAGGGCAGCAATCATCGCCCCCTGCTGGCAGACTAATACCCATAATACAGGTTTTTTGGGTTAGATTGTGTAAATATGTGTCATTAAACCCGCCACCACCCGACACAGCCAACTAGTAAGGGTTGTCATGCAGACAGAATGTGCCAATTCGTCACTAGTACAGCACACCGGTGTGTTGGAGAGCCAAGCCACAACATTTACAATCATGAGTGCGACATTTTGCCAGTCATTTTATAATAATACAACCACGCTTATAACATGACCATTTCTAATGGACACTGTTTCCATCAAAATCCTGCAGTTGTATCGTATTCATGAGAAGTTCCAGAAAGTAAGACGCATTCCAAAGCTGTGCTCGTGGGGCGGTAAAGTCACGCCGCATATTCCTCAAACATTGTCCGTTTCTTCTAGATTTGAAATTTTCGTGACCGCAAAGATCCTTATTCTTTGGTTCTTTTGGTAAAGTCACTGTAGGTGAAAAAATAAAATAAACTTGTCCTTTTACTCTCGAACACTTAGCAGGATCCATCATCGTCAAGCAAAGTCTTTTGAGACTCAGTGAGGCTTTTCTGGGTACATATGCGGAGCGTTAATTATGATAAACACGACGTTTCGTCAGTAATTACAACCGGATTCATCAGGCGACAGCCAGATTTGTGAGAAATTGTCCTGTTTCGTTGTCTTAAATAGAGGGGTAGATGCGATGACATCACTTGAGCGCTCATCTTGCGCGAAGTGAGGGGGGGGGGGGTTAATGAATGCTTATAAATGACTATGGGGTATCTACTATGGGTATCCATTGCATAATCCATGTGCATTATGCAAGCCCATTCTTGTACCTCTTGTCGATTGTGTGTACTAAAATAGCCGTACCAACGGTAATCCTTATTGAAGTATTGCAGCCTCTCCTCGGTTCTTTCGGTAAAGTCACGTGAAATGGAAATAAAATAATAAAAATGAAACATAATTAAATAAAATTCTCACGACGTTTCGGCCACAACACAAGTAGCCTTCTTCAGGTGAAGAGACAGGACTGTCCAGAAGACAGCGCTCGAGTGAGCACTGCCAAGCTTGGACGGCGCCTTTTAAGCTGTGTGGGAGGAATTAACATATGAATGAGCGTGTTAATATGAGAGACGTGACTCGCAATGGAGGAGGGGGTTGATAAAGAAAAGAGGAGCGTCAAGGTGCGCTGTTCTGTCCTGTGTTGCTTTATAACTATGCTATAAACTGGACTACTATACAATATAATATTATACCTTGGTATAATATCATATCCATAAACAAATTCCACCTTCGAATGCGTTACTACCCTCTACTTAATACATTTCACACGACGGTCAATGGTATGGTTTATAGCATGTTGTATAATAATAATAAACAGTATAACATTGTAATGTTTAACATAATTCATAAGGCAAAATATAGTATCGTAATTGTATAGTGAATATACAGTAGGGTTGGTAGAATAATACATAGTGTAATATTACAAGTCTAATATTTTACAGTCTAAAGTAGAGGGTAGTGTATAGTAACGCATTGTATAATTCGAAGGTGGAATTTGTTTATGGATATGATATTATACCAAGGTATAATATTATATTGTATAGTAGTCCAGTTTATAGCATAGTTATAAAGCAACACAGGACAGAAGAACAGCGCATATAATGAGAGACGTGACTCGTTCCGAGTTCCGAGTCACGTCTCTCATATTAACATGCTAATTCATATGTTAATTCCTCCCACACAGCTTAAAAGGCGCCCGTCCAAGCTTGGCAGTGCTCACTCGAGCGCTGTCTTCTGGACAGTCCTGTCTCTTCACCTGAAGAAGGCTACTTGTGTTGTGGCCCGAAACGTCGTGAGAATTTTATTTTATTTTATTATGTTTTATTTGTATTATTTTTCCATTTTATGTGACTTTACCGAAAGAACCAAGCAGATGAATCTCTGCAGTCTCGAAAGTATTGCAGCCTGTATAGGCATGCATCTAAACAATGTTTTATTATTTCACGATTCGCTTCCAAGCAGCCCTAACTCTGTAGCTATCCAAACAGTTACAATTATTAAAATTTTCATACTCTTTGGTTCTATTCGGTAAAGTCACGTAGGTAAAAAATAAAACAACAAGTGGCCTTCTTCTTGTGTTGTGGCCGAAACGTCGTGATTTTTGTTGTTTTATTTTTTACCTACGTGGTGACTTTACCGAATAGAACCAAAGAGTATGGATCCTTGCAGTCACGAAAGCTTCAAATCTAGAATATTTAAATTTTCTCACTTTCGATAGATTCTCTAATTAGTCTTGGCCAGTCGTAACTAGTTTCGCACAAAACTTTAACGTTATCAAAATTAACTGAGTGTCCTTGCTGGCATGCGTCTTCTGCTACTGCTGACAGTTGTATTTGGGAGTATTTAATATTTATTTGGTGTTCTTTTAGTCTCGTGTTGATCATTCGTCCTGTTTGCCCAACATAGCATTTGCCACAAGTGCAATTAATCCGGTGCACACCTTCTGTTGATATCTTCGGTAACACATCTTTTGTACCAAAATATTAATTTCTGTATTTTATGTACCGTGCCAAATCTGACTCGGATGTTTTGCTTTTCCAAACATCTGGCTAGTTTATCAGTTACATCCGCAATGTACGGTGTTTCCATAGTTTTAATGACTTTGTCAGTGTCAATGCTCGTGTTATTTGATGAGGTTTTGGCATTCAATGCCCTGTTGATTTGTGCATTATTGTAACCGTTCAATTGCTGCTCTTCTTCAACATGTTTAATTTCACTTCTCAGACTACCACCATCTGATATTTTCTTAGCACCGATGTACGAGTGTCTTGATGAGAGCGGATTTCTGTGCATTTTCTTTCGGTTAACGCTTTGTGTAATTTCACCCTTCCGACCGCGTCCGAGCAGAATATCCAGAAATGGTAGAGTTTTGTCACGATTTTTTAGATGATTTAGAAATTCCTTCAGTATATCTATTCCGTGTGGCCAAGCCACCAATGTGTCATCCACATATCTAAACCAAGCGGAGGGTTTCAGTGTGCTTCCAGCTATTGCTTTTGTTTCAAAATCTTCCACGTACAAATTCGCTGAGCCGCTCCTTGCATGCTGACCAATACCAGTTTGCCGCCCGCTACACGAGGAACTCTCTCGAACAGAGCGAAGTCCGACAACCCCCCCCTCCGGGCGTCTCCACCTCACGTTGCCTGGCGTCACTCACCGCTGCCGCTGCTGCTGCTGCTGCTGCCGCTACCGCTGGTGCCGCTGACGTTCCGCGGCGGAGTCGGCTGCTGCTGCTGCTGCCGTTTGCTGATCGGAGCGACGGGGGGCACGGCCGGGGAGGCCCCTCCGCCGGGGACCGCCGCGGCGGTGGGGGCGGTGGGGGCGGTGTTGGCGGTGGGGGCGGTGGGAAGGTGAAAGGGGTATTGAGTGGCCAGGAGCCGGGCGAGCAGCGCGGGAAGCGCGTGGACGCTCTCGGCCAGCGCGTCCACCTTGCCCTCGAGAGCCGCCACGCGCTTCTCCGTGTCCTCGCTGCGTTCGTGCAGCTCCGACACCATGTCGTACATCACGTTCTGCGTCTACGCGGGGACAACGCGGAGACAGCGTGTCATACATCACGTTGTGCGTCTACGCGGGGACAACGTGGAGACACCGTGTCGTACATCACGTTGTGCGTCTACGCAGGGACAAGGCGGAGACACCGTGTCGTACATCACGTTGTGCGTCTACGCGGGGACAACGTGGAGACACCGTGTCATACATCACGTTCTGCGTCTACGCGGGGACAACGCGGAGACAGCGTGTTGTACATCACGTTGTGTGTCTACACGGAGACAACGCGGAGACACCGTGTTGTACATCACGTTGTGCGTCTACACGGGGACAACGCGGAGACAGCGTGTCGTACATCACGTTGTGTGTCTATGCAGAGAAAACAGGTTGTGTGTGTACACGGGGACAACGCTGGAGACACGTGGAGATAGAGTTAGAGAGACACACGGGGACACGGGCTCACCTTGGCCAGGTCGATGAGGGTGTTGGCCTGGTCGTTCAGCTTCCTCTGCTCCATCTTGACGCTGCGCAATCTGAGACCGACAGAGCCACATACTCACCACTCACTCACTCACTCATACACTCACACACCACACACTCACCACTCACTTACCACTCACTCATACACTCACACACCACACACTCACCACTCACTCACTCACCACACACTCACCACTCACTCACACACTCACTCATACACTCACACACTCACCACTCACTCACCACTCACTCATACACTCACACACTCACCACTCACTCACCACACACTCACAACTCACTCACACACTCACCACTCACTCACACACTCACACACTCACCACACACTCACCACTCACTCACACACTCACTCACACACTCACCACACACTCACCACTCACTCACCACACACTCACCACTCACTCACACACTCACTCACACACTCACCTCTCACTCACACACTCGCTCACACACTCACCACTCACTCATACACTCACCACACTCACCACTCACTCACACACTCACCACTCACTCACCACTCACTTATACACTCACCACTCACTCACCACTCACTCACCACTCACCAGACTCACCACTCACTCACTCATACACTCACTCACTCACCACTCACTCACCACTACCATCAACACCCCACAGTGTCTCACTTACACCGCCCTGGTGAGTTACTCAACACTGGGACTAGTCCTAACACTGGGCCTTGTCCCAACACTGGGACTAGTCTAGCCCTAGCCTGACCATTAGTCCTAGCCCTAGTCTGAGCATTAGTCCTAGCCCCAGTCTGACCATTAGTCCTAGCCCCTAGTCTGACCATTAGTCCTAGCCCCTAGTCTGAGCATTAGTCCTAGCCCCTAGTCTGACCATTAGTCCTAGCCCCTAGTCTGACCACTAGTCCTAGCCCCTAGTCTGACCATTAGTCCTAGCCCTAGTCTGACCACTAGTCCTAGCCCCTAGTCTGACCATTAGTCCTAGCCCTAGTCTGACCACTAGTCCTAGCCCCTAGTCTGACTATTAGTCCTAGCCCTAGTCTGACCATTAGTCCTAGCCCCTAGTCTGACCATTAGTCCTAGCCCTAGTCTGACCACTAGTCCTAGCCCCTAGTCTGACCATTAGTCCTAGCCCCTAGTCTGACCATTAGTCCTAGCCCCTAGTCTGACCATTAGTCCTAGCCCTAGTCTGACCATTAGTCCTAGCCCTAGTCTGAGCATTAGTCCTAGCCCTAGTCTGAGCATTAGTCCTAGCCCCAGTCTGACCATTAGTCCTAGCCCCTAGTCTGACCATTAGTCCTAGCCCCTAGTCTGAGCATTAGTCCTAGCCCCTAGTCTGACCATTAGTCCTAGCCCCTAGTCTGACCACTAGTCCTAGCCCCTAGTCTGACCATTAGTCCTAGCCCTAGTCTGACCACTAGTCCTAGCCCCTAGTCTGACCATTAGTCCTAGCCCTAGTCTGACCACTAGTCCTAGCCCCTAGTCTGACTATTAGTCCTAGCCCTAGTCTGACCATTAGTCCTAGCCCCTAGTCTGACCATTAGTCCTAGCCCTAGTCTGACCACTAGTCCTAGCCCCTAGTCTGACCATTAGTCCTAGCCCCTAGTCTGACCATTAGTCCTAGCCCTAGTCTGACCATTAGTCCTAGCCCTAGTCTGAGCATTAGTCCTAGCCCTAGTCTGACCATTAGTCCTAGCCCCTAGTCTAACGATTAGTCCTAGCCCCTAGTCTGACCATTAGTCCTAGCCCCTAGTCTGAGCATTAGTCCTAGCCCCTAGTCTGACCATTAGTCCTAGCCCTAGTCTGACCACTAGTCCTAGCCCCTAGTCTGACCATTAGTCCTAGCCCTAGTCTGACCACTAGTCCTAGCCCCTAGTCTGACCATTAGTCCTAGCCCTAGTCTGACCACTAGTCCTAGCCCCTAGTCTGACTATTAGTCCTAGCCCTAGTCTGACCATTAGTCCTAGCCCCTAGTCTGACCATTAGTCCTAGCCCTAGTCTGACCACTAGTCCTAGCCCCTAGTCTGACCATTAGTCCTAGCCCCTAGTCTGACCATTAGTCCTAGCCCCTAGTCTGACCATTAGTCCTAGCCCTAGTCTGACCATTAGTCCTAGCCCTAGTCTGAGCATTAGTCCTAGCCCTAGTCTGACCATTAGTCCTAGCCCCTAGTCTGAGTATTAGTCCTAGTCCCTAGTCTGAGCATTAGTCCTAGCCCCTAGTCTGACCATTAGTCATAGCCCGAGTCTGACCATTAGTCCTAGCCCCTAGCCTGAACATTAGTCCTAGCCCCTAGTCTGACCATTAGTCCTAGCCCCTAGTCTGAGCATTAGTCCTAGCCCCTAGTCTGACCATTAGTCCTAGCCCCTAGTCTGACCATTAGTCCTAGCCCCTAGTCTGACCATTAGTCCTAGCCCCTAGTCTGAGCATTAGTCCTAGCCCCTAGTCTGACCATTAGTCCTAGCCCCTAGTCTGACCATTAGTCCTAGCCCCTAGTCTGACCATTAGTCCTAGCCCCTAGTCTGAGCATTAGTCCTAGCCCCTAGTCTGACCATTAGTCCTAGCCCCTAGCCTGAGCATTAGTCCTAGTCCCTAGTCTTAGCATTAGTCCTAGCCCTAGCCTGACCATTAGTCCTAGCCCCTATACTGAGCATTAGTCCTAGCCCCTAGTCTGAGCATTAGTCCTAGCCCCTAGTCTGACCATTAGTCCTAGCCCCTAGTCTGACTATTAGTCCTAGCCCCTAGTCTGAGCATTAGTCCTAGCCCCTAGTCTGAGCATTAGTCCTAGCCCCTAGTCTGAGCATTAGTCCTAGTCCTAGTCTGAGCATTAGTCCTAGTCCTAGTCTGAGTATTAGTCCTAGCCCTTATCCTGAGCATTAGTCCTAGCCCCTAGTCTGAGCATTAGTCCTAGCCCCTAGTCTGAGCATTAGTCCTAGCCCCTAGTCTGAGCATTATTCCTAGCCCCTAGTCTGACCATTAGTCCTAGCCCCTAGTCTGACCATTAGTCCTAGCCCCTAGTCTGAGCATTAGTCCTAGCCCCTAGTCTGAGCATTAGTCCTAGCCCCTAGTCTGACCATTAGTCCTAGTCCTAGTCTGAGTATTAGTCCTAGCCTTAGTCTGACTATTAGTCCTAGCCCCTAGCCTGACCATTAGTCCTAGCCCCTAGTCTGACCATTTGTCCTAGCCCCTAGTCTGACCATTAGTCCTAGCCCCTAGTCTGAGCATTAGTCCTAGTCCTAGTCTGACCATTAGTCCTAGCCCCTAGTCTGACCATTTGTCCTAGCCCCTAGTCTGACCATTAGTCCTAGCCCCTAGTCTGAGCATTAGTCCTAGCCCCTAGTCTGACCATTAGTCCTAGTCCCTAGTCTGACCATTAGTCCTAGCCCCTAGTCTGACCATTAGCCCTAGTCCCTAGTCTGAGCATTAGTCCTAGCCCCTAGTCTGAGCATTAGTCTTAGCCCTAGTCTGACCATTAGTCCTAGTCCCTAGTCTAACTATTAGTCCTAGCCCCTAGTCTGACCATTAGTCCTAGTCTGAGCATTAGTCCTAGCCCCTAGTCTGACCATTAGTCCTAGCCCCTAGTCTGACCATTAGTCCTAGCCCCTAGTCTGACCATTAGTCCTAGTCCCTAGTCTGACCATTAGTCCTAGCCCCTAGTCTGACCATTAGCCCTAGTCCCTAGTCTGAGCATTAGTCCTAGCCCCTAGTCTGAGCATTAGTCTTAGCCCTAGTCTGACCATTAGTCCTAGTCCCTAGTCTAACTATTAGTCCTAGCCCCTAGTCTGACCATTAGTCCTAGCCCCTAGTCTGACCATTAGTCCTAGTCTGAGCATTAGTCCTAGCCCCTAGTCTGACCATTAGTCCTAGCCCCTAGTCTGACCATTAGTCCTAGCCCCTAGTCTGACCATTAGTCCTAGTCCCTAGTCTGACCATTAGTCCTAGCCCCTAGTCTGACCATTAGCCCTAGTCCCTAGTCTGAGCATTAGTCCTAGCCCCTAGTCTGAGCATTAGTCTTAGCCCTAGTCTGACCATTAGTCCTAGTCCCTAGTCTAACTATTAGTCCTAGCCCCTAGTCTGACCATTAGTCCTAGCCCCTAGTCTGACCATTAGTCCTAGTCTGAGCATTAGTCCTAGCCCCTAGTCTGACTATTAGTCCTAGCCCCTAGTCTGACCATTAGTCCTAGCCCCTAGCTTGACCATTAGTCCTAGCCCCTAGTCTGAGCATTAGTCCTAGCCCCTAGTCTGAGCATAAGTCCTAGCCCCTAGCTTGACCATTAGTCCTAGCCCCTAGTCTGAGCATTAGTCCTAGCCCCTAGTCTGAGCATTGGTCCTAGCCCCTAGTCTGACCATTAGTCCTAGCCCCTAGTCTGACCAATAGTCCTAGCCCTAGTCTGACCATTAGTCCTAGCCCCTAGTCTGACCATTAGTCCTAGCCCCTAGTCTCACCATTAGTCCTAGCCCCTAGTCTGAGCATTAGTCCTAGCCCCTAGTCTGACCATTAGTCCTAGCCCCTAGCAGTAGCCCGAGCATTAGTCTTGGGATGAGTTCAAACCATGGCTTCAGCCCTAGCACTCACAACCATCATCATCATTGTTGTCCTCACAACTACCCTTGCACCCCCCCCCCCCCCCGCCCCCCCCCCCCCGCCCCCCCCCCCCCCCCCCCCCCCCACGTACTGGTGGATCGCCTGCAGGAACTTGCGCTGGTGCTTGCGCACGCGCGAGTGGTCGATCTTCTTCACGAGCTTCGTGTGCTTGTAGATGAGCCACGTCTCGCGCAGCACGTTGGCCGCCGCGTTCTTCACCTGCGTCACCACGCAGCACGGGGTTCATCGGCACCGGTCGTCGTCGCCGCCGCGGTGAGGCCGCGGCGAAACCCGCGATGCGCGTGGCGAGGTTGTGGCAGGTGTGGGGAGCGGTGGTGCAGCGGTTAGCGCTACGCTGCGCTACGAACCCGGCGACACGGGTTCGATTCCCGCTCACGGCCAACACCCGGTGTGACGATTATCTGAACCGGTCCCGGGCCTCCCCTAGGTCGACTCAGCCTCAAATGAGTACCTGGTGCGGTGTGTAAACATCGCCACTGGGGAGACAAAGGCGGCCGGGCGTGGTGCTGGCCACCCACCCCCTCGTGTGCCGTGCCGGCCTTCATTAGGTGCCGCTCGCTAACAGCACTTGCCCCTACAGTCTGTTAAGGCTATATGGGGGATCTTTATTTTTTCTTTTTTTGTGGTGGTGGTGGTCTCACCCGCCTGGTGAGTGCGGTGAGATTGTGCTGGGGCTGTGGCGAGTGAGGTGGTGGTGGTGCTGAGGTTGTGGTGAGTGGTGGTGAGTGTGGTGGTGAGCTCACGCGCTTGGGTGAGCTGCGTGTCCGTCATGAAGTTGTGCACGTGCTTTCCACGCCATTGACGAACGAGATTGTGGTGAGCATGGCGGTGAGGTTGTGTTGAGCGTGGTGAGTGGTGGTGAGCATGGTGGTGGCGGTGAGCTCACCCACTTGGTGAGCTGCGTGTCCATCATGAAGTTGTGCACGTGCTTCTCCGCCTTGACGAGCGAGGTCGTGGTGAGTGTGGTGGTGGAAGTGGTGAGGTTGTGGTGGGCGTGGTGAGTGGTGGTGGTGGTGGTGAGCTCACCCGCTTGGTGAGCTGCGTGTCCATCATGAAGTTGTGCACGTGCTTCTCCGCCTTGGTGAGCGAGGTTGTGGTGAGTGTGGTGGTGGAAGTGGTGAGGTTGTGGTGGGCGTGGTGAGTGGTGGTGGTGGTGAGCTCACCCGCTTGGTGAGCTGCGTGTCCATCATGAAGTTGTGCACGTGCTTCTCCGCCTTGACGAGCGAGGTTGTGGTGAATGTGGTGGTGGGCGTGGTGAGTGGTGGTGGTGAGCTCACCCGCTTGGTGAGCTGCGTGTCCATCATGAAGTTGTGCACGTGCTTCTCCGCCTTGGTGAGCTCCAGCTTGCGGGCAACTACGGCCACGACGAGCGCGGTGCAGCCAGCGCCCTGCTCCATCACCACCACCACCCACGTCACCGTCATCACCGGCGTCGTCGTCATCACCGCCGGCGTCGTCATCACCGCCACCACCACCACCATCACCCACGTCACCGTCATCACCGCCGTCATCGTCATCACCGCCACCACCACCACCACTACCCACTTCACCGTCATCATCGGCGTCATCGGCACCACCCACGTCACCGTCATCACCGCCGTCATCGTCATCACCGCCACCACCACCACCACTACCCACGTCACCGTCATCATCGGCGTCATCGGCACCACCAACGTCACCGTCATCACCGCCGTCATCGTCATCACCACCACCACCACCCACGTCACCGTCATCATCGGCGTCATCGGCACCACCACCACCCACGTCACGGTCATCACCGGCGTCGTAACCATTGTCATCAGTGTCATTTGGATTGGTGAAATCATCATCATCATTATTATCATCATCAAAATCAATTTCATCATCAGCGTCATCATCATCATCAATCACCCTCAGCCGGGCGGAAAAGGCCACGCCCGTGGCTGCTGTAACCCAGCGCTGTGGAGGCAGAAAGCCAGGGTTGGTGGATCACCGCAACGGATGTCGAGGAGAAGACGCACCCCTGGATCGCCGGGATAAAGCAGTACAGCAACGTGCAGAGCAATAGCATCTGCCCCTCGTGCATGGGATAGAGCGTTGCCCCCTTGCACGCATAGGTGTTCTCCGGCTCTTCCCGTTTCCTCCGATGTGTATAAACGCTCGTCAATGGACTGAAAAAATCGCATCTCCCGTGTGTCGCGGATTGCGCAGCGGTGTGAGATGCAGTTTGCATGACTGATGCTGCGATGCAAAAATATATCATCATCATCAACAGTATCATATCAACAGTGGTCATCTCTGTCATCGCCAATATCAGTTGCATCATCATTATCACCACCAACATCATCAGCATCATCATCTGTGTTATAATCAGTGCCATCATAACCATCATTACCACCATCATCATCATGTGTCGAAATGACGATTATCATGAGTTGAGTGTGTGGGTGGGTGAGTGAGGATAGTGAGTGAGAGAATAGGTGAGGTGAGGCGAGTGAGTGGGTGAGTGAGCAAATGGATAAGCAAGGCAGTGAGTGAGTGAGCGAGCGAGGTGAGTGAGCAAGTGTGGGGTGAGCAAGGGCGCAGATGGGTGAGTGAGTGAGTAAGTGAATAGAAGAGCGAGCGGCCGGGTGAATGGGCGGGTAAGCGGTTGAGTCGGTGAGTGTGCAAGTGATAATGCGAGTGAGCAAGTGGGTAGGCAAGTGAATGGTTGAGCGAGTGCATCGGTGGGTGGGTGAACGGGTGGGCGGGCGGACGGGTGGGTGGGTGAGCGGGTGGGTGAGCGGGTGGGTGGGCATTAGGGCGAGCGGGTGGGTGAGCGGGTGGGTGAGCGGACGGGCGGGAGGGCGAGCGGGTGGGTGGCCGAGCGGGTAGGTGGGTGAGCGGGTGGGTGGGTGAGCGGGTGGGTGGGTGAGCGGGTGGGTGAGCGGGTGGGTGAGCGGGTGGGTGGGTGAATGGGTGGGTGGGTGAGCGGGTGGGTGGGTGAGCGGGTAGGTGGGTGAGCGGGTGGATGAGCGGGTGGGTGGGCAGGCGGGTGGGCGGGTGAGCGGGTTGGTGAGCGGGCGGGCGGGAGGGCGAGCTGGTTGGGTGGTCGAACGGGTGGGTGGGTGAACGGGTGGGTGGGCGAGCGGGTGGGTGGGCGAATGGGTGGGTGGGCGAGCGGGTGGGTGGGCGAGCGGGTGGGTGCGTGAGCGGGTGGGTGGGTGAGCGGGTGGGTGGGTGAGCGGGTGGGTGGGTGAGCGGGTGGGTGGGTGAATGGGTGGGTGGGTGAGCGGGTGGGTGGGTGAGCGGGTGGGCGAGTGGGTGAGCGGGTGGGCGGGGGGGTGGGCGGGTGGGTGAGCGGTTGGGCGGGCGGGCGGGTGAGTGGGTGAGCGGTTGGGCGGGTGGGTGGGTGGGTGGGTGAGCGGGTGGGTGAGTGGGTGAGCGGTTGGGTGAGTGGGTGAGCGGTTGGGTGGGCGGGCTTGTGGGTGAGCAAGCAGGCGAGAGACTGCTCACCATGATGCCAGTAAGCAGACACACCCCGCGGCCACAGTAGGTGTGTGGCACCATGTCCCCGTAGCCGATGGAGAGGAAAGTGATGGATATGAGCCACATGGCGCCCAGGAAGTTGCTCGTTACGTCCTGCGGGTCGTGGTACCTGGGGGTGACATCATCGACATCGTCGTCATCATCATCATCATTAACATCACCAGCATCAACATCAGAATAATCACTATCAATATTGTGGATTCTCTCTCCAACACACCGGTTAGTGCTGTACTAGTAACAAATTGGAACGTTTTGTTTACATGACAAACCTTACTAATTGGCTGTGTCGGGTGGTGGCGGGTTTAACGACACATTTATATTTACGCAATCTAACCCAAAAAAAACCTGTATCATCATGCAGTATGTACATGCACGTACATGGCCACCCGTACTGATCGGAGGTGCGGGGGAAGGACAACAAACTAAACACAAATAGCAATTCTAAAGAAATTGGTGTCTGTGTGATTCTATGGGTCTCTGTGTGAGTCTATGGGTCTCTGTGTGAGTCTATGGGTCTCTGTGTGAGTCTATGGGTCTCTGTGTGAGTCTATGGGTCTCTGTGTGAGTCTATGGGTCTCTGTGTGAGTCTATGGGTCTCTGTGTGAGTCTATGGGTCTCTGTGCGAGTCTATGGGTCTCTGCGCGATTCTATGGATCTCTGTGTGAGTCTATGGTCTCTCTGTGAGTCTATGGGTCTCTGTGCGAGTCTATGGGCCTCTGTGCGAGTCTATGGGTCTCTGCGCGAGCATATGGGTCTCTGTGCGAGTCTATGGGTCTCTGTGCGAGTCTATGGGTCTCTGTGCGAGTCTATGGGTCTCTGTGCGAGTCTATGGGTCTCTGTGCGAGTCTATGGGTCCCTGCGTGAGTCTATGGGTCTCTGCGTGAGTCTATGGGTCTCTGTGCGAGTCTATGGGTCTCTGTGTGAGTCTATGGGCCTCTGCGTGAGTCTATGGGTCTCTGTGTGAGTCTATGGGTCTCTGTGTGAGTCTATGGGTCTCTGCGTGAGTCTATGGGTCTCTGTGTGAGTCTATGGGTCTCTGTGCGAGTCTATGGGTCTCTGTATGAGTCTATGGGTCTCTGCGTGAGTCTATGGGTCTCTGTGTGAGTCTATGGGTCTCTGTGCGAGTCTATGGGTCTCTGTATGAGTCTATGGGTCTCTGTGTGAGTCCATGGGTCTCTGCGTGAGTCTATGTGTCTCTGTGTGAGTCTATGGGTCTCTATGCGAGTCTATGGGTCTCTGTGTGAGTCTATGGATCTATGTGTGTGTCTATGGATCTCTGTGTGAGTCTACGGGTCATTGTGCGAGTCTATGGGTCTCTGCGTGAGTCTATAGGTCTATGTGTGAGTCTATGGGTCTCTGTGTGAGTCTATGGGTCTCTGTGCGAGTCTATGGGTCTCTGTGCGAGTCTATGGGTATCTGTGTGAGTCTATGGGTCTCTCTGAGTCTATGGGTCTCTGTGTGAGTCTATGGGTCTCTGTGCGAGCATATGGGTCTCTGTGCGAGTCTATGGGTCTCTGTGCGAGTCTATGGGTCTCTGTGTGAGCCTACGGGTCTATCTGAGTTTATGTAGGTATATTTAACTTCGTTCGCACCGTACCCATCGGAGGTGCGGGGCACACAAAGAGTCACAGCTGATCCCGCGCTCCCCTCTACCCTTAAAGCAACCCCAACGGCCAGCGTGGTGAAGTACGGTCAGACGACCTCCCGTGATCGACGCGGCGCTTGGAGGCCTTCATCCAGCAGTGGATAGAGAGAGTGCCTGGAGTTAACGACATAATCTCCCTCTATTTGTAGGCGAACCCTGGCCACAGCCTCCACCGCGGTCAATTCCTTCGCGTGGCTCTCACTTAAATCCCCCCCCCCCGTCGCCGCCTCCTCCAAACATCAAAGGTGATTAAATATCGGCATTTTGAGTGGGCTTCAAAATCAATTAAATCGTTAACCTGGCTCTGGCGCAGAAGGCTGCAAGTCGTGTTTAAACATTGAGCGACGTCAGTGTGGTCTCGCCGGTACCATCATCAGCAGCCATCGTCACCGTAACCATCATCAGCCACCGTCACCATCATCAGCCATCGTCACCGTAACCATCATCAGCCACCGTCACCATCATCAGCCATCGTCACCGTAACCATCATCAGCCATCGTCACCGTTGCCATCATCAGCCACCGTCACCATCATCAGCCATCGTCACCGTAACGATCATCAGCCATCGTCACCGTAACCATCATCAGCCATCGTCACCGTCGCCATCATCAGCCATCGTCACCGTCGCCATCATCAGCCATCTTCACCATCATCAGCTACCGTCACCATTATCAGCCATCGTCATGGTTCATCAACCATCGTCACCATCATCAGCCATCAGCCACCGTCACAATCAGCACCATTATAGCACAGTGGAAAAGAAGTTCAACATCCATTCGTACAGCCGTACAATTCCCACCGCGGTATTAACCGGGGCGGCCGCCGGGCTCGAACCGCGAACCTCCGCCACGAGCGGCCGCGATCGATCCACTGCTGGATGACGCCCCCCCCGCCCTTAAACGATATCCCGCGACGGCGGGGCTCGCTGGCTCGCGAGAGCCGATTTCATCGCTCCGTCTCCGGCAAAGCGTCGCGGCAGGCCGGCAGGCGGCCGGGTCACCGATGCGGTCACAGAAAAGAACGAGGAAGTGAAACTACAGGCGTAAGAAGAAGTTTTACTCTTACTGGCCTTAAGACAGATGCGTTAAGGGTGTTCAAACACCAAACTAAAATCTTTTGCGAGGAATCACGTTTGCATTAACCACGCATGCTTTGTGTGTGAACATGCAAGCAAAAACCACGCGCTCTGGTAGTACACGATGGTGCATTGTCTTTGAAGCTGATTGGTCCGCACCAGAGACAGCATTCTTTAGAGCCTCGTCTCAAACGGTGTCAGACCCAGAGGACGCCAAGAGGCGAACAGCACAGAGACGATGCCGCTGTCAGGGCATTGAGAGCTCGGGGTTGAACAGCTACACCATGGGACCTTCCTATGAAACGGAAGAAAAACAGTGAGCGCCAATCTATTCCAGACTTAACTAAGTCACTGAAATCGAAGAACAAGCGCGAATGGATGCAAGAATATGTATGAAATACATGCCTTGGGGGCAAACATCCACTTTGTAAATTATGTATTGTCTTAATTAACAGCAGAGGTGTTGTAATGTTTTTTTTTAATTTGTAACGTCTGGGCAAATAGGCGTGATTGCTATAGGTGCAAAAAGCAGGTTTCCTTGCGAGAAAAAATTAAACAGCTGCTCATTTGGAAAGGCTCAACATGCATTATCCTACTTGTGTTGGTGTAACAACGTAGGTATACAATAAAAATCACGAATTAAAGTCACGACGTTTCGGGCGCAACACAAGCGCCCTTCATCAGCAGTTGTTTCTCGCTGTGGTTGTCCCACCCGATGACGGACGCTTGTGCTGCGCACCGAAACGTCGTGACTTTAATTTATTTTATACCCACGTGACTTTACCGAAAGAACCAAAGAGTACGTATCCCTGCAGGCGCGGGGACACTTCTAATCTAGATTGGTGTAAGAACAACAAAAATGGTACCATTGAAGTTTTGCCACCTTGGTTGGTACCGATAGCTGATCCAGCCCAAATGACTCTTCCTGCCAGTATCAATTCCACCATGGCTACTTCCAGATTCGTAACAACCGACGCAAATGAAGCCCGCCAGACACGGGAGGCTTTCACGAATCAATATCATTGAGATAAATAAAAAAAAACCTCCACCCGTCATCCATTTCCCTGCTGGCTGGTGTCGTCTTCGCCACGGCGAGAGAGAGGCGTGGGGATGACGTTCCCTATGAATAGCTGCGGGGATGAGGGGTTGTCCCAGAAACTCGAAGTTGGCATGACAGCTGGTTTGCGATCGCCTATTAATAGCCGAGAAGAGCACTTGGGGTCAGAGGTTTCCTCCCCACACACACACACGTACACACACACGTACATACACACACACGTACACACACACACACACGTACACACAAACTCACACAGGTACACACACACACACGTACACACACACACGTACACACACACGTACACACAAACACACACGTACACACACACACACAGGTACACACACACACAAACATGTACATACACACACACGTACACACACACACACGTACACACACACAAACACGTACACACACACACGTACACACACACACGTACACACACACACACGTACACACACACACGTACACACACACACAGGTACACACACAAACACGTACAGACACACGTACACACACACACGTACACACACACACACACGTACACACACACGTACACACACACGTACACGTACACACACACGTACACACACACACGTACACAAAACAAAGACCCCCCCCCCCAACACGTGAAGCCCGTGACAGACTGTTAGTGGCAAGTGCTGTTCGCGAGTCTCAGCCTATGAATGCTGTGGCACACGACGGCTGTTGGGTGGCCAGCAACCCCGCCCGGGCCGCCTTTGTCTCCCCCCCCCCGTGTCGATGTTTGTATACACAGCGCACCAGGTGCTCATTTGAGGCCGAGCCGACCTAGGGGAGGCCCAGGACCGGTGCAGATAATGGAACCCGGGGGCGGGTCGGGTTTGGAGCGCCGCGCGCTAAGCACTGCGCCACCGCTCCCCACACGCGTACACAAAGACAAAGACCCCCGTGTAGCCTTACCATACGGTTGGGGGCAAGTGCTTGTGGGCAAGCACCTATGAAGGCTGGCACAGGACACGAGGGGTTGGGTGGCCACCACCAAAGATAAAGACAAAGATCCCCCGTGTAGCCTTAACAGAGTGTAGGGGGCAAGTGCTGTTAGCGAGCAGCACCTATGAAGGCCGGCACGGCGCACGAGGGGGTGGGTGGCCAGCACCACGCCCGACCGCCTTTGTCTCCCCTAGTGGCGATGGTTACTACACACAGCACCAGGTACTCATTTGAGGCCGAGTCGACCTAGGGGAGGCCCAGGACCGGTTCGAATAATCGTCGCCGGTGTTGGCCGTGAGCCGGAATCGAACCCAGATCGCCGGGTTCGTAGCGCAGCGTAGCGCTAACCGCTGCACCACC